GACGGCCCAAGACGAAGCCGCCCCTTCGTCTGTTTTTTTTTTTTTAAATTATTTTTAAAAATATTTTTAAATTCTATAACCACCATATCAACATGTTTCTAGGTAAACAAATCATTTGGAGTTGAATTGCATGAGTTTGCGTTGTTGAAGGATCCAATTGCATTCTTTTTTTATTTGATGGCCCAATTGCAGTTTGGTGTACATTTGAGTGGTGATCCTTATTCCTAAAAACAATTAATTTATACTGATATTTGTGTATTGTTTGTTTCTGAACATTCTTTATAGCAATCCTGTGCACTATCATGGTTTATCACGATCAAGATAGTTCCAGAACTTATATGAAGGAAGATTAAACAAGTTAAAATCTCTGACCTGTGTTGGAATATTTGGGCAACAAATGCAAGATTTAAATTTGTTGACCCCTCAACGATGTCAGTTGGAGTAACATATTTTATGCAGTCCAATTTCTCTGCTTGCTCGATAATCAAATTTGCTCTTTCAGTAGGATCGTTCGTTTCAAGTGTTGCAGTTGAACCAAATTCAGGTGCAAGAGCATTGAGCAGGCGAGCATAGGCCTCTCCATCCTGCAAGTGAAAGAGCTTTTGGTATTGCCTAGAAAATTAATTGCTACACTTCCAAAGCATAGTTTGAAAATGTAATTAATGAAGAATGTTGAATTTTACAAATAAGATCCGCCTGTATATCTTTCTTAATTGTGTTGGGAATGTGAGAGGTTTATGGTCATGTGATGTTCTGGTGTTTATCTTCATTAAAATATCAGTCTAATCTAAGTGATACTGAAATGTGCAAAACTTAGCTCTGATGTTAGCATGCAAACCTCACCTTCAAATCAGATGAAAAATTTGTAACCTGCTTCTGATAGCCTGTTTTTTGCAGATGAAAGTTCATCCATTTCAACAAAACTTTTTCTGGAGACAAGGACATGAGCTCCTCCACATCCTGAAAATTTTATTATAATTATTCACATATTGAACAAATGCAACACATTAAACTATCAACTATTTATAGTATAAGGCATACAAAAACCAATCAACTTCTAGCTACCTTACTGTCCTCCACCAGTTCCACAAGTTGAGGAGTATTCTTCAGGTTCAAATCAGCTAATAATTGAATCTGATTCACACAAAATGAAAAATGGAGAAAATTAAGCAAATTGACACCTGCCTTCACTTCAGTAGTTTAATGACAGAAACATTGTGAAGTTGTAATATACCTTGATAATTTGAGAAATCAATCCAAGGATGAGATGTGGCTAATAAAAACAACCAGAAAAGGGGGAAATTTTAGAAGTGTTTATATTTATAACAGAATCTAGACAAATAGCTTAGACTTCACATACTCTTCCTTCAACTAGATCCTGCGTGCCAATGTTAACCACGGTGCAACCAATAGCCTTCGCAGAATTTAGACATAGCGTATGGTTTTCATTTCTTTCCCAAGGATTAAGAACTTTCTTGGTATTAATAGCTCGTTCATCTATTGTGTTAGGGACAGCAACATTGATGAGTTTACTGCATAGAACCAAATCAGTAAAGGGATCAAAAGATGCTGAAGGATGATAAGACCTTAATTAAATAATTGAACAAGTCCTTTCTCCTTACCACAGAAGAACACCATCCTTTGCAACATCAAACAGTGCATTTGTAGCTGGATCCATAGGCAGATAGTTTGACAGGAAACTATCAGCTTGAAGAAATCTATTGACGTGCGCAACATAAGAGGCCTTCTCTGATTCACTAATTGAATGACGGAGTGTTGTTGTGGTGGACTTGAGAAAAGAGGTGGAGGTTTTAAATTTTGAACTAGTGGTAGTCGGTTTCTTCGTGACCTTTGATTGTAGACCGTGATATGCCTGTGCAGAAAGAATCAGGCTTAATGTAAGCAGTAGAATCATATATTAACTGAATGTGGTCTGTGGAGCATAGTAAATGCAAAAAACAAACAGATGCCCAAAAGAAAATAACATGGTAGCACACTGTCAAGCAAATCTCTATTTACCTATAACATAACACAGTAAATTATATTACCATGATGAAATGAAAACATTGTATTAAGTATACATGAAATTGTTAAAGGGGGAAAAAGAGTAAATATATATATGCAAAAAAAAAAAAAAACACACACACACACAATTTAACAACACCTCATACTCACCCGAAGAAAGGATTCAAAATCAATTTCTTCATTTGCATTAGGAATTGACTCGCTCAACATGGTCTTAATTTGTTCTTCATTGAATACCCCAACCAAGCCCTTCAATTTGCACATAACTGGTGGCAAGTATCCAACAGTGAGCTTCCCAGCCTGACTCTTCGCAGAAGCATACTGTGGCACCAATGCCAATGAAAATAACCAACAGATCCACATAAATGTAAATAAAGCACAGTAACACCAACCGGGGAAAAAAGATGATCATGATGAGAACATAACGACAACTGTGTAGGTGAATAAAGAAATACTAAGCACCAAAAATGACAAAAAATTTGAAGAAGAAAGTATAAGTGCAGTTGACGTACAGTGGCTTTGAGGCCACGCAGCTCCACTTGCGTAAATTGGCTCTGAAGCACAGGATCGGAAACTATTACACCCTCATAGCTAGACATTTTTGTGTCTTCTCGCTTTTTAAAACGCAATAATCAATCAATAATCCCCTGCAACGATTAAGAGATGAAATATGCATCGAGGAAACAAAAGGACAAACACAGTGCGCGCAGATTGAGATATCACATTATTGCATCAAAAAATAAAAAAATAATAAAAAAAAAAAGGTAGTGCAGCACAAAGCTTAGCATTCATATATCGGATTTTAACTTTTAATTAACCGCGTAATGAGTCCAGGAGCACTTTTTGCCAGAAACGAATCAAAGAGCAGGATACAAACACATCCTACTTAGGAACAAGGAACAGTCCTCTGTAATGTAGTGGTGCGAGTGTATCTATAGGTGCAGCTTACTATTACAGACAGATGTCGATCTCTAAAACCGAAAATATTCCAAAAATGGAAGAGAAGTTAGAGTAACACATGCAATTAAGCATACCTTCTGGAACGAATCAGATTGTCATGGCGAGTAGGGACGATGAGGAATGTGATTGCAGAAGCGTCTCTTCATTTGCTGTCTGAAGAGAGATGGGAATGAGAGAGAAGAGAGGAGAAAAAACCGTTGGGCCTATCAGACCCGCGAAATTCTGGTATGAAACCAGCTTATGGAGTGGTTATAACTATAAATAAATAAATAAATGCATTTTTATTTTATTTGAACTTCATAAGTCCAAGCATGTGATATACAAATACAAATTGTATAATATATGCTAACTAATTAAGATATATGCACAACTATTTAAATTCCGTTTTTTTTTTATTTAAAAAAAACATATTAACAATGTTTGTGGGATAATACAAATATTATATTATTAAAAAAAATTATAAAATGTTGATTAGTACTGCTATAGTATCAAGTGCTTATTAGCAATTGTTTATAATTGGGAAAATGCTACATATACTCCCATTTTGTACTCTTTGTGAATGTTTCTACTGACTCTACATATACTCCCATATAATGTTTCTTGTACTCCAAGTGCTATTAGCAATGTTTCTTGTGAATACTTAATAAGTTTATTTTGGGGTGACGAAGAAAATCCGCAGTCACTACTCGAGGGTGTACACGGGGTAAGCTTTGCGATATGATTCAAACTTATGACCTTGTAGTTACAAGTTTGTATCTTTAATCATCTTGGCTGGGGTTATCCCACTTAACAAGTCTGTTGATTTTATTTCTAATGGATGAACATATGCTATATATACCGGTTAAAAGGTTCATGTAGGCAGACACATATTGTCAGATAGGTTCCTTTCTAGTTGTTTGGTAAATGCTAAGAGCAATCCCATTTGTGATTTAAAAAAAAAAAAAAAAAAACAAACTTATGGGACCCTAACTAATGTGGAGGAAAGAGAGCCTAGGAGAGATTCTAGGAACCCTAGCTAAATACGAGAAACACAAGTACGACTTGCATTTCTTGTGTTTCACACACACACAAAAAAATATATATATATTTATATTAATTTAAGAAATTCTATTGAGACTTGCGTTTTTTTACCACAAACACAAGTCTAATAGAATTTTTCGTAACAATTAGATATAGTTTTTACCATTAACTACTATGAGATCTAAATCTCATTTTTAAAAAATACAATTATTTTAAATAAATAAAAATAAAAAACCCGGGCCTAGCATGGGACCAACTCGGGGTAGGTCTTGCACGGGAGTGACCCTGAATTACCTTGGTTAGTCCCAATTTGTGTTATCCTAGATCTAGACTTTGGCCATCTCTAATACATGCATGTTCTCTTTTCGTGCTCCTCCCAAAAAAAAAAAAAAAAAAAAAAAAAAAACTCTATAAAGCCACCAATGAAATTGTTCTTACATATTTAAAAGAAATGAAATGAATAAAAATTGTAACTCACTTCAAAATAAAATAAAATATGAAAACGCATGTAATGTTATTCCCACGGCTACCGACCACGAGGAGAAGATTTCGCCAAGCATATGAGCTGGCAATCTACCAATGAAGCAGTGCATTGGCAATTGACCAGTAGGTATCCAAGGCCACATCACTTCTCCATTATGCAATCCTTCGTGTTCGGTCCCCCATTGTTACATCGAATGTTGTATTATTAGGAGTAACATGGGGCAGTGCAACCTGAGGGACATCATGAGAAACACACAGGAAGTAAGAAAACAAAAAGAAATGATAAAATTAGACAAAGAATTAAAACGAAAAAAAAAAGGAAATCTTTAGTGGTTGGGATTTGGAAGCAAGCAAGCTGACAGAGAAACCCCAACTCACATCTAAACTTTTCCTTAAAGACTCCCTCATTCCAAGTTATTTTTTTATAATTGAATATAATCATATCACCAATTTCACCATCATTTTCACTACAACAGTCGCACTCAGCTCAACGGTCAATAGTAATGCCCAGTATTCCCTTTTAACAAAATAAATACTCTCCCCCTCAGCCTTTGTCTTCCACCTCCAAACCCCTCTCCCCTCTCTCTCTCTCTCTCTCTCTGAGTTGCTCAACTCAGCTCAGTTCTCCCCAGGTTAGCTCTCTCTCTCTCTCTAGTTACAGACCACCCTCTTTTCATTTCAAATCTTCTAGTTTTGTTTGTGTAGATTTGGACCCCAGATCTGCTTCTGTTATGTTGAATTAACTGCTATATCTATAATCTATCTACATTGTGTGTGTGTGTTTGTAATGTAGCTCTGAATTCTGGTTTTCTTGTGCTTGCATCTAAAAGGGTACCTGAATCTGTTTTGTTTCTGATTGTGTCCTTTTCTTGGAACTTACGGCAGAATGCTGAGATCTACAGCTTCTGTCGGCTAAAGATTACAACTTTAAAAAAGAAATACAGTACTAATCTGAATCTGATATCCCAATTCCCAAATCCCACTTCCCAGCATGTCTGTATGTACTTTCCTTGTTCACGAAAAGTGACATTCTTTTTGAGATGCTGGGTTTTAGTAATTTTTTTTATTGTTCTTTTAATATTCTTTCTTACTGAACTGAATCATGAATGCTTATCTTATGTGCTTGTCTGTTAAAGGGTGTCTGATCTTTTCATTAGTGGCTTCTTATTATCCTTCTTCTGGATGGAATTGATGTCCAAATGTTGAGATCTTACATATATCTGGGGGCTAAAGAATGTGACTTTATAGCCGTGCAATCCAACTGCTTCAATTTGGTATCAGAGCCAGACCAAAGGTCATGGTTTGAATCTCATCGCCATCCATAAGCGACTATGGTCCACGTGTTGCTTGGAACCCACCTCACACGTGAGGGGTCGCTTTTAGTTGAGATGGAGCACATGCTTCAATTATAAGTAGTATATTTCTAGTTAATGTAACTTTAGCAGAAGTAGTATGATTCTAGTTGAACTGTCTTTGGATCTATGTGTTGCCTATGATGTTTGTGATTTCATTTAATTAGGATCTTGCAAATGCAGGGACTCTAGTCTCTAGTGTTTATTCCAGGGAGAGAGAGAGAAGCACATTATCATACCTGTAAGATGGATTACACTTTTGTGTTTGTGATTGCTAGTCTGATGATCTTTTCTTGCTCGATGCCGGCAGTGAATGCCCAAAGCATTTCTCTGTCTCCGGCACCAGCCCCGGCCCCAGACTTTGTGAACCTAACAGATTTGCTATCTGTTGCTGGACCTTTCCACACTTTCCTTAACTACATTGAGACCACCAAAGTTGTGGAAACTTTCCAAAACCAAGCCAACGATACTAAAGAAGGGCTTACTCTCTTCGTGCCCAAAGACGATGCCTTCTCCAAGAAAACGAAGCAGGCACTCTCGAATCTCACCGCTGACCAGCTCAAATCTGTGTTCCTTTACCACGCATTGCCACATTACTACTCGCTCTCCGACTTAAGAAACCTCAGCCAAGTTGGTCCGATCAGTACCTTTGCCGGTGGGCAACTTAGTGCCCTGAATTTCACTGATGTGTCTGGGACTGTGCACCTGAACTCGGGATGGACCAGTACCAAAATTAGCAGTGCAGTTCATGCAACTTACCCCGTTGCCATTTATCAGGTCGACAAAGTTCTCCTCCCCGAAGCCATCTTCGGGACAGATATCCCCCCCACCCCTGCACCCGCACCATCTCCAGACATTGCCCCGGCTGCAGATGCTCCAGCTTCTGACAAAGGCATCAGTGGCGACTCAACGTCTCCAACTTCTTCACCTCCATCGTCTTCCCACAAGATTATGAGCTCGAGTCCTCTCAATCTGATCTTGGCAATCGTGGGTGGATCTGCTGCCTTCTTCCTGTAAACTTTTGTCACACATTGAATTAAATTAATTTATGCTTTTGTAAGAGGATATACCCCATTCAGATTGGTTCACTTGTTCCCCATTTTTTCTGTCATATACAATATACTGGTCCTTCCATTTGGTGAGAATTGTATTGTATTATTCAGGTCGCTTCATTGTTGCATATACAATACATACTTCACCACTCAATAAACTCATCATGATTCATGCATACAACATGAAGGGAATGGCTATCTTGTGCCTCTATATACAAATATATGTTGCACTATATTTAACTTTTTGCTTCGAGTCTCGATTCGAAGGAGAATTGAAGCATGTGCTCCATTTACGAGATTTGAACCCATGACTTTCGATCTGGCTCCGATACTAAATTGAAGCATGTGCTCCATTATATGCTCAACAAGGAGTTACACATATTAAGCTAACCAAACAGAAGTCAAACTGAGATGATAACAAATCTGAGAAATAAACATCTCAACCACAAATTTAATACCTGATTGAACCTCAGCAAATCTCACCATCTGTCTATATAATTGAGTTGCAGCTGGCGTGCAAGCAAGGATCTTCAGGAAAAAAATTACCATCTTTGACATTTGGAAACAGAGAACATCTTGCCATTAAATCATTGATAGTATTACAGTAACAACTAAAAAGCAGAGAAGGGAAGTCGGTATACACTGCACATCAAAGCAAATATAGCAATTGGTAGAACATTGAGGTTCAGTTTAAACTTTACAGTTAACTCCTTTAGACGATAATTCTGTTTGATGAATTGGAGATCGCTTCCCTTTTATGTTCCTAATCTTCTATTAGCGGCACAATTCAAAGAACAACCTGAGACCTCTCATTTAAGGGGCCAAGTTATGCCGCTTGATCACAAGGTATTTGGCTAAAGGCACATAATATGGTACCAAATAACATGATAATCAGGTACAGAGTATGTTGTAGACACATAAAATATTAGTTAACATGTTATGCGTCTGTAGTTAACATATTTTATACCTACTGTTAACAATTTATGTGTTTGTAGTTGTTAAGTTATGTGTATATAATTATCATGTGATGTGCCTTCAATTTGTTTACATGTACAAATTAGTTGTCCACGATGCAAGGTAGACCCTCCTGATCCATGGTATAATCTGTTAATGATCTAATGTAATCGAGTTAATACCTAATTTAATCATTGACTATAATATTTTTTTCTCAATTTAATTTTAAATGACTTTTTGTACTTAATTGTATCATGAATTTTGATGATTTTACTTAATTGAGTCATTTGCTTCTGCAGACAGTTAGAATCAATAACTAAATCGAAAAAAAAAATCATTATAATTTTTGAAAACGAAAAAATTTATTATAGTTGATGACTGAAATGTAGGGATGGCAATTGAACCCGCCCCCGATGGGGAAAACCGTTCCCCGCCCCGACGGGGATGGGTTCGGGGAACGGGGGCGGGGATGGGGGAATTTTCCAATCCCCGCCGGGGACGGGGAGGGCATTTCCCGCCCCGGCCCCGACCCCGATCCCCGATCCCCGCCCCGTCCCCGAATCCCTGACTAATAATATTAATATTATATATAAATTAATATCTCTCTTGTATATATTTAATCATATTCTTGAATTTCCATGTAATTAGTATTCTAGTTTAGGTACATACATTTTATGTTCATTGTTACCGTAATACCGTATATATATCTTGTATAAATAGGCTATGTTTATTTGTTTAAATTATTATTGAACATCAATGTATTATATTCTTCATTCTCTATCTCTGCATATTCTCATGGTATTAGTAGATGATTTTTTTTTTTCATCTTTGCGATTTAAGATTTTTTCTTAACAAAATTGTGTTTCTCTAGTTTTGTTAAGAATGCATATTATATTATGTGTGTTTTAAAAAAAAAAAAAAAAAAAAAAAAAAAAAAAGTAAGCATGAATCAAAACGGGGCGGGGATTCCCCGTCCCCGAAAAATCCCCGCGGGGACGGGGATGGGGAATAATTCCCCATCCCCGCCGGGGAACGGGGCGGAGACGGGGAATGGGGGGACATTTCGGGGACGGGGACGGGGACCCCATTCCCCGCCCCCGCCCCGCCCCGTTGCCATCCCTACTGAAATGGGTAAAATCATAAATAGTAGGTGCATTGGGTTTTATTGTATCCCAGCAATACTCTGCCACCCCAACTTCTTCATTAGTTGGACAAAAATCTGAAACACTTCATATATAGATAGCGACATTTTATATACTATAGGCAAACAATTTACTTAAAAAATAATCAAACTTCTACCAAAATACATATTTATTTTACATTGTAACACTTTTCAAGTCTTTAGCTTCGCGAAGTAATATAATACGGAGTATAATTTTTCGTCATGATTAATTCTTCTATTATAAATTTGTCAAAGTCAATAGTAGTTAATAACATATGGATCAACAGTGACGGGCCATGTGGGGGCAATTTAGCGTGTTAACTGGTAACCAACCAGGTGCATTTAACACCTGTTATACACGCAAGAAATAGTCATTCATAAGTAGCTAAGAGTTATAAAATAGAGGTGACATAAACGATCTTATAAATAAAAATGTATGAACCAAATAAGGTAATCAGAATAATCTTTTCAACGTTACTAACGTTTAACGGAATCTACTATCTACTATACTAATAAGAGCCCAAGAGAGTTAGGCCTATAATCTACTATACTAATAAGAGCCCAAGAGAGTTAGGCCTATAATGGGTAGAAAAAATGGCGGTCACAGATTTTAATCAAATGAATGGCTCAGATTGATTAAAAGATTGATCAGATTTAAATTTTACATTAAAATTTCCTAAAATACCCACACACCGTTACTAATTCAGTTAAAATTTTAAGAATTGTCGTTAGTTCACCGTTAACTTACTCATTGATTTCAATAAAAAAAAAAAAAAGGTCTTAGGTTCGAACCTCATCCCAATCAAAGTTGGCATAATTAGTACTCTATTTTACTCTTATTAAATTATATAAATAATAATTTAGTAGTTACAACAAAAAATAATACATATGCATTTCTTTAATTTAGAATTATGTGTTCACAATGTCTTTATTCAAAAAAAAAAATTATTCATTATCAATAAATTAAATAAGATAAATAACCAGGACTATGTGGTCTAATGGTACCCGGGTTGGACTTTCATTTGGAAGATTATGAGTTCGAGCCTCAGTGGAGGCGTTATTGGTTCTTTGTGTTTCAGAACAAAAAATAAGATAAATAATTTTATTAGTTATATTGTCTTTATTTTTCTTCAATATAAAAATTCTTTATATTCAAATTTATTAATTGATTATATTCGCTACATTGTCCTTACAATGTCTTTATTCAGTGAAAAACAAATTATTAATTATCAATAAATTAATTAAAAGAAATATTTTCATTAGTTATATTGTCTTTATTTTTCTCAAATGTAAAAATTTTTACATTCAAATTCATCAATTGATTATATCCACTACATTATCTATTATCTTTTTTTGTGCACTATTTTTCTAATTAAATATCAAAGTTATAACATAAAATAATGCTATATATTTATTTACCAAGTATTTTATTAATACCATGAAAAAATTAAAAAAATATAATTAATAAAGCCAACCATATTAACTACTTGAGAGATTTTGTGACAAAGAGAGTATTCAAATTACAAAACAAATTGAAGTGAGAACTACCCCGCAATGTTCTTGTTTGACAATCAGCAGTTAGCGATTAACGTTAGCGGATTATACAAGCGGATTTGACCAGCGAATTTATTTAATTATTAACATTGGGTAGAAAAAATGACCGCCAAAATTATTAAATCAAATGAATGGTTCATATTGTTCAGGTTTTAATTTTTTTTCTTTTAAGATTTTCTAATTTATCCTTAATTATATGATTATCCATTTAACTTTTCCGTTAATTCACGGTTAGTTTAATTCTAATATTAAAGTCTTAATAGAACTTAACCACAAATCCTAATGTCGGAATCTCCTCAAACAATATTAGTATATATTTCATATTTTATGCCCTAATTTTTATTTGTTCTCCCTTATGTCCTGTATTTGGTTTCAACTATACCTATACAATTATTTTATTGACAATTATAATCAATATTGACTATATTATCTTGCATTTGTAAACTTAGAATTACCTATTTAACCCGGACGGGCTTAGCTCAATGGTTTAGTAGGTAGTATTTGGGAGAAAAGACCAAGGTTTGAACCTCGGCGCCGGCAATGCGGAAATTATGTCCAAAGTGGGCAGATTCCTTGTGCGTACCAGCATTTGGCCCTGTCTGCTGAACCATTGAGTCACCGTGATTTACAACTTCCCACAATGCTCTGTCGGGTCGGAGTGTGGGGGGCCCTTGGGGTTGGGGACTCAACCTTTGGGAGAAGAATTACCTATCTAAATACGCAAATTCAACCTTCAATTATCTATGCATGAACAATTTCAATATAATCTTGCCTTAATATACTTTAAAGTACTTATTCAAAAAAAAAAACATTGGGCATTATCCCAATCGCGCAATGCGCGTAAAAAACTAGTAATTAGATAAGTCACTAGACCTGACGCAAAGCACTCTTAATCTAACCTGGAGCAGTCAAAACAATTAAACAATCAAATAATAACGGTTAAAGTATAGAGCATTGCTTTATCAAAGAGCAGGAGTTATGGAGGACCAACGCACTTATAAATAAGAGCACCTTAGTTATTAGGAGGCCATTATACTAATTGTTATGTTTTGTAGTTATTGTATAATATAAAATCTGAACCCATGTAACAACAAAAAACACGCTAAACCTGTACTCAAACTTTGAAGCAATACAATTTTGTTTACTTACAAAAATACCAGGTAAGTATGTTACCGCCAATTACTAATTAAAAATAATATGTCAAAAAGTACGTAAAATTTAAAACATTTAACTAAACAAGTTATATCGAAATTTATTTGTAAAACAAATGACATTTCTCGTTAACCTTTTCAAATAACAATTTCCTCTAATTTTTATACCTCAAAGAAATGAATATTTCTCTAAATAAATTAACTTATATCAATAGTCATTCACAAGACATCAATTCAAAGAAAAACGAAGCTTGTGACAAAAATTAGCAATAAAAAGTCATAAAACCCACCTACCAAATCAATGACTATGAATAATGTATGGAGGTTAGTGTATGACTGGTCATCTTAATTAATTTTCCTGCCAATATTATCGAAATAAAAGTTATGTGAGTTATTTAAATTAATGCAGCATGTAAATAACACGTTGAAATATAGTGGTAATTGATCATAAGCACAAAAAATTGATAATCATACACTATATATTAAATGTAAAAAATTTAATAATAATCAAAATGTAAAAATGATGTATAATAATTATTACGAAATTTGTAAAAAGTTCTAATGTATGTATATATAAAAGAAAGAGGAACATATTACACAAACATCAATAATATAATTGGACTAACTCAAAAGAAATCAAAAAAAAAAAAAAAAAAAAAAAAAAAAAAAAAAAAACCTAACGTCGCAAGGTAAGAATAATAAATAATCTCCAAAAATGAAATGTATACAAAAAAAAAAACACAGTGAAAATCATCTATGGCGGCCGGGCGGGCGTCACAGATCGAAGTGTATAGGCCGGCGAGGCGGCTATCTAGACGGTATAGCCGTTGCCGTTGGCGGCGTGGTGGGGAGCAGGGTGTTGCTTGTTGGCGCTCCGGCGCTTGAGGACAATGAACCACGTAAAGGCTTCCAAGAGGGCGGCGACGGCGCCCAAGAAGATGATAACGCCGGTGTAAGCTTTCTTCCAGTTCTTCTGCCCGTCCAACACGTCGAATCCCTCGTACACGTTGATGACGCTGAGGATGATGACCGTGTATCCGACAACGTGGTGGTAGATGTTCCAGTAGAATCTCAACTTGTGGTCGGGCTTCGGCCTCAGGAGCAACGCGAAAACCTGCCATTTCCGACATCATATTGGTTAATTCGTGAAATTGGTAATTAAATTTGAATTGGATGATTAAGTTTGGTGAATTTTGGTACCTGGAGTGTGGCGAGGGCGAAGAGAGTGATGCCGATGTTCCGGTGGGTGTCGTGGGTAACGCCCTTGGAATCGCTGCCGAGCTTTAGGCCGGTGCCCCAGCCGGCGACACCGACGGCGTAAGCGGAGGTTTGGCAAGCCACGTGGAGATAGAACCAGGCGGGGTCGGCTGACTTGGACACTTTCAAGTACCTAGCTATAATCGCGCCGATGGGCATCAATACTCCCCAACTAACGGCGTTTAGCACTCCGTGACGCTGCCGAGAATCCAAAATTCCGATCAGTAATTAGTGAATTCAGATCGAAATGAAAGAAAGGAAGAAAGAAAGAAGAAATTTAAAGCTTAATTGATGGGATTGTGACTCACGTATCTCTTGCGCAGAACAGATTTGAAGGAGTCGCTTCCGCCTCCGGCGGAAGTCTGGCCGGTGGCGAAGTCCACCGTTCCGGTGGAGATCATGTTGTTTCCGGTCTGAGCGTGGGCTTGAGGGGTGGTGCCGGAGAGGGAGCCGTCTTGCCAGGCCTGGTTGAAGCTAGTGCGACCGGCGGGGAGCGCGAGAGTGGCGAAAATGATGATCTGGCCGCCGTTAAACTCCGCCGAGATATTGGACACCCCGAAGCTGAGAGGGCCCTCTTGAAGCTGAGTTACGTAGCTGTTGGGGATGGGGGAGGTGTAGGCGTGGATACTGCCACTGGAGTTTCGAAAAGCCACCAGACACTGCGTTCCTCGCATCCCGGATCCGCCGACGTTCAGCCCCCATGCCACCCAGTTGGAGGCGGTGACCCCGCCGTGGCGGTAGGCGATATCGGCGGTGTGGTTGGACGGGTGGTAGGTCCAGTGGAGAACGGAATTAAGCACCGGCAGATTGTTGCAGGCAGCAAATAGTCTGTTGCCGGAGAAAGCGAAACTCGAACAATTCTGAGCGTAAGACGAAGCCACCAAACTCAAAAACAAGAACAAAACCGCCACAACTTTACCCATTTCAAATCTCGATCGATCACAAACTATCTCTTCTGATTGCAACGCCGACGGGTAAATAGCCAACGCCTTCAAGAAGATAACCGGAGAAGATGAATATAAAGAACACCGGAATAATGGTTCTAGAGCAGAACTGAACTGATCTGATCTTCAACGGAAGTAGAAGGTGGATGAAAGCTCCGGTTGATGAAGAGAAAAAAAAGCTTTTTTTGACTTTTTATAGATTTCCAGTAGAGGAGGAGGAAAGTTATGGGGGGTGGGTGGTGAAACAGAGTGAAGGGTTGTTGACTGCTTCTTCTAAATTTTTTCTGTATTTTTTATTTTATTTTATAATGTTGAAAAATGAAAAACAGAGTGGTCCAAGTCCAAATGGAAATGGCGGAGGGCTGAAAATGAAGCAGCCGGGAAAAAAAGGAAGATGAGGAGAAGCTGCCATGTTTCCATTTCTTCTTCTTAAATTCAAAGCATTCACAATACGCAAGCTTTCTTAGCTTTTAGCTCTTTCCCCACTATTTACTCTCTAAACTTGGCATAAAGTAAGGATTTCAAACTAAGCCTAAGCAAATATGTCAAACAAGTTGCATTTCTTTAATAATAACATAACTTTTATATTTTTGGATACAATAGAATTGAAAAAATCACAACAAATTAAATAAATTTAGTACAATCGATGTCCTTAATAGACATTGATGAGTGTTAGAGTAGTTGGATCGGTGCTTAGACTTAGGTGGTCGAACTCGGAGCCAACTGCAAAGTGCACAGTCGATTTAAGGAGAAAGTAGGTAGATGGGCAAGAGTTTGGTTTGGCGGTTATGGTGTTAATGTTATCTATCTTTCGGGTTTCTCTCCTAATTATGAGTGTTTTAATGACGAGGATTACTTTCCTAGATTTGTGTAGTATAATTAAAGAGATTTATTACTTTAATTATTAGTAGGATAGACATGTATAAATACTTTGGGAAAGGAGGGTTTGATGTTTGATTTTACCATCTTCAAAAAGGCAATAATAAAATATTCTTTAGCTTTATTATTCATTATTCCCTGGTCATTGTTTACAAACTTTATCCATGTAACTTAGCTTTATTATTAATCTTTGCATTATTCTTGTTTGCAATCTGATTGATTGTGCTCCTAGTGGTAAAACCAACATACATACTCATAGTGCAATAAACTTGTGTGCATATTAGATGGTAAATCATCACAATTCTTCACTCCTAAACTTAAAGTCTTTGACTATCCTATGAGAGCGCAATGGCTCATTTACATATTATTAGTCTTAATAGGCATGGATTTGTCCGATTAAAACATATTAGATGGTGAATTATCACAATTAATAGTCTTGCTAAAAATATTTTAGAAACAAAAAAAAAAATGTTTAATGTAAAGAGATATTGACTTATATTAGTGCCTGATTTCTTATGAAATTTTCATATCCACATTATTTTATCTAGCTGAGCTGTACTGCTTCTTTTGCTCGTACAAGAAAAGTACATCAAAGATTATTCAAAGAATACAAATTCAATCCTCCATTCACTCACTATTTAAATATTTAATAGCTCAAAATTATTACAGATATTTGTTATTTATATAAAATTATTCTTAAAATATTTATTTTAGTAGTAATACTCTCATCACTTATCTTTCATAAATAAATCAATTAAGGAAGAAAAAAAAAAAGTGAATCATCCATGACACCAACAATCTATTAATTAATATATCAGAGAGTAGAAAGTTAAAAATGAATTTTCTTCTCCAAAAATTATATTAAAGTCTAAACTACTCACTCAACGAAATTTTTTCGTAAAGATAGTATTATCTCATTATATTTATTGCTTAGCTGTTAATCTTAGTGCCTACCTCTGATGTATCTAAAAAAAAAACCCTAAACTATTTGCCGAACAAATAATTCCTCAATTAGATTCTGTTTAAGGGCTAATTTTATACTAAAATTCTGTGTCCTTATGTTCTCTGATCTTTTGCAGGCCGGTATTCTTGTGTTCATACTATACACCTTAGCAATTCTGTGCACTAAATTGTTACTTTATATGTGTTCATGTCGAAACAATTCCAAGTTGGTTATATTTTGGTGAAAATTATTGAAGAAGAAATAAGAAATTGAAATCATATCTACCTCAATCTTAGCAGATGAGTTTTACATTAAATTTATTAATCAAATTGGATTTTAAAAAGAGAAAATAAGATTAGTTATTTAAGTGGGAATCGTGGCGGACACACGGTCCTCTTTTTGAGCATTTCCAATTTGGACGTTAGCATTCCATGCTTGTTCAGCGAAAGCAGGCTAAGAAAATCAAAAGAACATAATATAAAATTAAATTAAATTAAATTAAATTATTCCGTAAAATGCTTCTAGAAGAAATCGTCAAAATTGGAAATAGAAGTTCATTCGATATTTCAATCATTGAAATCACCGGAGAATTGAAGAATAACTCAATAAATAAAATAATATATTTTTATTTTCTTTAAAGCGTTGAAAGTCAATATGAAGTAACTAATTTACCATTGTTTAAGAAAGTATAAAACAGATACTACCTTGTAAAGAATTATGAATATTTAAAAAAAAAGACTAATTTACCAAATATTTTTCTATATATTGTTAATGCTATCAACTAACACAATTAATTATCAGTTATAAGCTAATTGCTACATACCCCATATTATTTTTCCTAAATTACTAGTAGGATGGTTGAGAAGTATAATTTCATTAAGAAGACAATATGATATTATAAAGTTTTAAACTGGAATAAACAAATAAATAAAATAATGAGGTCATAGTTGACCTCACATGTGCATTAGCATAACGTTCACATTTCTTACTGCGTATCATTTTGTTTGATGTTGGAGAAACCTAAAAAGAAGGCAAGCTGAAAAAAAACCGCAGGGCCCACCACGTGTTGACTCGGCTTAAAATGACGGGGTCACGTAGCGACCAACTCGCTAGAACTAGAAGAAAATTTTGAATCTTATAAGGTGCATGCATATTGCATAGACCTTAATTATTATTAATCAATTAATTAAATTATTGATTGATTAGTCCGAATAATTTCATGTTGTCGTGTGGTCTGAGGTATTACTTTTCCTTCTCCCAAATTGTTGTACTTTTCCTTGTAGTACAAATTGTTGTTATGGTCAATCACCAAAACTTTACCTACCACATTTCCACTCCTATAACATATTAAATTGCAATTTAGCACATTTTTCTAGGTCACCTAATCCCATAAAATGGGTAATACTTTTTTTTTTTTTCTTAATTTGAAACCTAAAATGGGTAATACTATATAAACGTTTACATACATTTTCTAACCCCAATCCCCCTGTAGAATTTTTAACAAATCAATTGAAAAGTACAATCCACATAAACACAAGACATTGTGTGTTGTGGAAGTTTCTTAAAAAGTTTGAACTTTTATCAATTTCATTTTTTTTTTTTCAATTGGTTATCAAGTTTATATGGAGTTGTGTGACAGGCTCCCGAGTTGTGAGAGGGATGTTGGCGATAGAGGCCTGGAGGGTAGCTAAAATACAACCATATTGCTATAAATGCAAAGAGCTCACGAGATATAACTCAACTGGTTGACCAATTCAAAGAAAAATAGAAATTCTCAGGATTGGAGTAAAATAATCTTTTTGCTAGAAGCTTTTAGTTTAACAACCTCAGTGACAATGAAGTGGTTGTTTAAGGCAATTGGAACTGTTCCACAACTACAACTGCGCGTCAGTTCCTTTTGACTGGCAAGCGTTGTCTAGTTTTGACTGTATCCTGTTCCTGTGGTGGGACAAAAACACTTAACAACCATATCAAACCTTGTTTTGCAGGCTTATCAATGGCACAAAAGGTTAAAACTTTGGTGTGCACACGCTTCCTACTCAGCATCTTCCTATTTCGTCTGCTCAGAACTGCTCAAACTAAATGCCCAAAGTGAGCAGATCCCGTGTACGCACTGATATTTGACTCTGTCTGCTGAGCCATTGTTTACAACATTCTAAATGTTCTGTCGAGCCGGGATATGGGGGGCCCTTGGGGTTCACATCAAGCAGAACCGTACAGACGCCTTCCATTTTTGGAAGTTCATGGCCTTTGGGACTATATTCCATCCACCAAGGAAGAAAGTTCTGATTGCATGTACAACAGCAAGGCAAACTTTGAAAACAGAAGATTTTTGTATGTTTCTGTTTTTTTCTTTTCAATTTCCTTTGAGTGGGGGAGGGGGTGGAAGGGAATAGAGATCCCTTCGGACTACTAATATAAGCAAAAGATTTGTATGGAAGCGATTGAAAGAGTGAATTAGTATCTCTTAGTTGACACAATAATCACAGATCATGGAGAGCTATAAATGCTTACCACATTACCGATTAGCCACAAGCTGAGATGCTATTGCAGAGATTGGGACTCACCTCATAAAAAATCTCACAGTAACAAGCTTCCTAAAAGCAATACAAAGACATGTGGAATTTTATTTCACTGAATGGTAAATGTAAAGCTACACGTAAGTATGCCATGAAAACAAAAGGAAAGATTGAGTACAATATACTGCATGCATGTTTGTTCCCCTTACCGCCTGTTTGGTAAAACTTATTGGATTACAGATTAAATAATCAACTTTCGATATGTTTGGCAAAGACTATGGATGATATATTATAGAACACATTTCAGCTTATTAAAGCCAATCCATAAGTTGTCGTAGGTTATGAATTATCCACAATTCATAATAATATTCAGTAATCATAAGCATTACCAATTGGGCACATCTGTCAAATTGTGCCTCTGCGGCTCTGCAGGCACATACCAATTTTCGGAATAGACACAGAAATTTTTTACTTCTCTAAAAATTTTAGCATCGAAGCTATAGATTTGAAATCAGCAATGCCATCATCATCATCATCGGAACAGATTCTTTATCAATTATTAGGCCCTTTGCTGCAACTATGCTAGCAAGACTTTCGTGTGCAAAAGTAAAATTCCAAAAACAAAGAAAGGGATTTTGAACATAGTAGACAAAAATGAAAATGGCAATTTTTCCCCAAAGAGAGGAAAAGTCAAGAAAATAAATCCAAATACGGAACAGGTAAAACGGACTAACACGAAAATTCACAAACTCAATGGAGAAAATGGCAGGAATAAAATGTAAAAATACATATTTGCTACTGTAAAAAGAAGATGTCTTACAGAAATAATTGAATTTATGACTGGAAAAAAGTATTTCTTGTGCATACTTCTCTAGTTTTTTCTCCTTTTCATTTTCATTTTATCATTATTCTATCTTTCACCAACCAATTAGATATTTATGTATATTGAATTCAGTTATTTCCTTCAGTCTAAGCCTCTAAGGGAAACTCAAAACGGAAAGATCTATGGAATTGTTACTAATAGAAACACCAACCAATAACTGATCAATAGACACAGAATAAGTAAAAGTAAAATATGAAAGGAGCCAAGAAGGTACCTTTCAGGTTCAGCAATCACCATTTCAATCTATTCTGCCTGGGGATCCATCAATTCAAGTACTCAACCATGGCTGCCAAAGACAAGGAGCATTGCAATCAAGAATAAAACTCATAAAACACATGAAGAGATTCAAATTTTCAAATGTAAATCAATAAGAAAAATCCTCCATTCAAATTCTAATCACTTCGAACCCCATCTTCAACACAAAAGCTCTAATCACCCCCTCGCCCCAACCCACCAACAGCTAACAACGAAAAGAAGAAAGTATTAAAAGAACACTTCACCAAATTGATCTTCTGTGCAAGGATCGAGTATCAGTATCAGTGTATCACCTTCTGGCTTTCCTATCTCTCCCTGCATCTAGACGTCGTCACTGTTGCAGTGACAGCAAAAGCCGATTACGCGCGTTAATGGGCTTTCTACAACCGCTTCCCTCATTTGTTTTTGTTCTCTCAGCCCAAAGAAATCTCATTTGGAAGTCCATTAAAAATGTGTGCCTTAGAAGATAATGCCTATACAACATTTTACTTGGTATAAATAAAAGGTCTCAAATTTATGATATCCATATCATTATTATGCCAATTTTCATAATCCCAACACTTATAATTTAATAAATAAGACATATCAATCCTTATACCATGAACCAGGATTCATAGTGCACTGTGGATCCTAGTACATGTGTGTCTTATGTTATTAGTTTTTGTGTCTTGTGTTATGAAATTTTATATCTGAAACAAATTAGTAATTGTGTCTTATGTTATAAATTGCTGTATCTTGTGTTGTGAAATTCTGTGCCTATAAACACAAATTATATACCTAAATCATAATTGAAATATAAATAAATATATAACATGTGTATGTGTCCTATGTTATAACTTTTTATGTATTGTGTTATTAAAATATATACTATACCTTACGAGTATGAATTTTAATTTGTACATTGTTTCAATACCTAACAATACTTAAACAAATAATGTTATTATATTGAATTTATAGTACCCATTAATTTATATAAAGTGATATACTTATTTGATTAGAGTACAAATGTAGAAATGATAATGGTAAATCATGAAGTCTAAATTCTTAGCTTTAACGCAAAGGCTAATCATGTCTCCTCGTCCCATATACTCTTTGCTTTGTCCACCCACAACAAAAGATATGATAGCTAGTGGAAAAACACGTTTACTTAATACTTATTTAATTAGTTTGATACACAAGACAGTCACCTAAACGGTACGGTACGTAGGATTCAACTACTTGTTTCAGGGTGAAGTAAAATTTGATTTAATTTGTTAAAATTGTAAAAAGTCTTTACATATATGTATGTAGTTAAAACAACATAATCATATAATTACAAATTCAACCATTTGAATCAGTCAGCTATGAATAATTTTAGTCGACTTATCCTTGGTGATTCTTTGTCACTTAAGATTATAAGTTTGATTTTTGCGAGTAAAGATTACAATGCAGAATTTATTTAATACATATATATCAGTTAGTAGTGAGTACCAATTTTTCTGATTAGTCAAAAACAATGTTAATTCATTCATATGAGAAACGAACAACCATTCATTAACGCCACGCTTCAAAGCAAAGTTTTAAGGCATAATTGGATGGAGGCCACGCCGGTGATAATATTGCATGGGAATTGAGAGTATATGTCCTAAGAAATCATCAAAGTTTTGTATTCATCACTCTCTATCTCTATCCATTATCATGCTTATCACTTTCATTCTCACTTTTTTCTTTTTCCTCTCTTCTCAACCTGCGACGGTGGTGCTCTCCGCCAAGTGCGCCACCGCCACCGCCGCCAAGAAGTTCGAGAAGTGCACTCCTTTGCCTTCTCAAGATGCGTCCATTGCGTGGACCTTTCATGCCCATAATGCTACATTGGATGTTGCTTTTTTTGGTTCTTTTATTTCTCCGTCCGGTTGGGTTGGGTGGGGAATCAACCCCACCTCCGCCGAGATGACCGGAACTCGGGCCCTCATTGCCTTCCCGGACCCGAACTCCGGCCAGCTTGTGCTTCTGCCCTATATCATCGACCCCACCGTGAAGCTCCAGAGGAACCCGCTCCTTTCCCGCCCCCTCGACGTCCACCTTCTATCGTCTTCCGCCGCCATGTACGGCGGCCGTATGGCCACCGTACACGACGGCGCCACCATCCAAATCTACGCCTCCGTGAAGCTGGTCCCCAACAAGACCAAAATCCACTTCGTATGGAACCGGGGAGTGTACGTCCAAGGCTACTCCCCCACCATCCACCCCACCACCATCAACGACCTCGCCTCCGTCACCACCATCGACGTCCTCTCCGGCACCTCCGCTGAATTCCACGGCGGCGATTTCGCCACGCTCAAAATCGTCCACGGTATCCTCAACGCCATCTCCTGGGGAATCATGCTCCCCGTCGGCGTGGTCACCGCCCGATACCTCAGACACGTGCAGTCACTGGGCCCCACATGGTTCTACGCCCACGCAGGTCAGTTATGTTCCGTCTATGAAATGCATATATATAAAGAATGAAAGTTTAAACTTTCATTACTAGAAATTATTGAATTTCTGATCACCTGAAAATGGTCTGTCTTGTTCCGACCACTTTTGATATCCGGAAAAATCTTTGTTGCTATTTTCCACTACTTTTTAATTTCAACTTGATTTAATATCACTTTCAGGCGGTCAAAAATTCCATAATTTCAAGTAGTGTTTAAACTGATCATATCATTTCTTTGGCTTGATCTTTGAACAGGGATACAACTCTCCACCATTGTACTAGGAAGCATCGGATTCGGGATCGGGCTCCGGCTAGGGGAGCTGTCGCCGGGGAGGGTATACGGGCTCCACCGGAAGCTGGGGCTGGCGACATTCTGCCTGGGGATTCTGCAAACGATGGCGCTGTTATTCCGGCCGAAAACGACGAACAAGTTCCGGAGATACTGGAAATCGTACCACCATTTCGTAGGGTACGCGTGCGTGGTGTTGGGAGTGGTGAACGTGTTCCAGGGATTCGAAGTCATGGGGGAAGGCCGATCGTACGGCAAGCTGGCCTACTGCCTCTGCTTGTCGACGTTGGCCGGAGTATGTGTGGCGTTGGAAGTCAACTCTTGGGTCATTTTCTGCCGGAAAGCTAAGGAAGAGCAGCTCAGAAGAGAAGGGCTAATGGGTGTCTCCGATAAGTTCAGCGGCGGCTCTGGCAGCCATGGTTAGTTGTATGATTTTATTTTTTTTTTTTTCTCTCTTTTTTTGAGAGATATTGAAGTAGCAATGGTGTTCAATTTGTGTGTTAAGCACTGTTTTTTTTTTTTTTTTCTTTGTAAACTATGAGTACGGATTATAAAATCAATTTGAAGGCACAAAATATTATTTTAATGAAGAAATAATGCATTTGGTTTACCCATTTTGGAGTATTTTTCTATTATAAAATGTAACACACCAAGTATATAAGGTGGTTTGGTAGTTTTATAGGGTATCGATTAAATTTATGAGAAAATTTTTCTAATGAATGTATTTGATGAAATAATTTGCATGAAAAATTAATTAATATGTTTGGTGTTACCTGAGAAATAAAGAAGAACAACCACATAACGTAGCGATATTGTATGTACTACTTGGATGCAAATTCTTTCAATATATAGTGACATTGTCCTTTTTAACAGCGGAAGACACACCTATAACTTAGTGTCAAACTGTTAAATAATAAACTTTGTAGATTCCGAGTCACCTGGAGAAAACAAAAATTATACATTCCTTAGATGAAATTTATCCCATATCGTGAAATTAGATTTCCAATTGGCCTGAATTTTTTTGAGTCAAAGATTACACTAAACGTGAGAATACTTTTTCCATACCTTTTAAATTCACATGAAAGTTCAAATTTTTTCCAATTACCAAACATCCTCTAAATGAATAAATTATAAATGTGATTCTTCAATTTTTGTTTAAATTGGGTTCCTCCAAGTACAAAATTGATCAATAATTAATTGATTAAATTGACAATTTGTATTAAAATTAAGGATCAACAATTAATGGACCAAATTAATAATTTCTTATCCCAAAAGGCTGAATCCCCAACCCTAAGGGTCCTCCCACACTCCGACCTGACAAAAAGTGTGAGAAGATGTAAATCACGGTGACTCAATGAGTTAGTAGACATGGCCAAATGCCGGTGCGTACAAGGAATCTGTCCACAAATAGATTTTTAAGATGCGGAGTAATTGGGGGCTAAAATGAAAAAAAAAAAAAAAAAAAAAAAAAGTTAATCCAATACAAAATCGGTCAACAATTAATGGACCTAATTGACAGTTTATATTAAAATTAAAGAATGTTTTAAGATGTGGAGTAACTGGGGGGCTGAAATGCAAAAAAAGGTTTATTCGATTACAAAATTGATCAACAATTAATGAGCCTAATTGACAGTTTGCATTAAAATTTAGGGGTGTTTTAAGATGAGGAGCGGAGTAAATAGAGGGCTGGGCAGCAAAAAAATATAATGTCAAGAATGGGATTCGAACCCATGCCCTTTCGGACCAGTACCTGAAACTGGCGCCTTAGACCAACTCGGCCATCTTGACTTGCTGTTTTTTGTTACTTCTGATTATATACATCAATAAATTAATGAACAATAATGTGTATCTAGCAAAAAAAAAAAAGAACAATAATGTATTTAATCATACTTGTTAACATGAAAAATCTTATTAGAGAATTAAGAGCAAACTTTTGGTGATTTTTATCAGACCACATGTGCAAGAAAGAGAGGGGAGAGAGAAAATGGGGAAGAAAAGATAATGAATAATTCTGGAGAATGCTTCATTTGGCTTTTGATTGAGACCCACAAAGATCCTTGATTTGCAGGAGAAAAATTCAATGAAAAACCATGCTCTCCATTTATAAAAAATTAATGCATGATTTTTTCTTTCCGACAAAAAACCCCAAATGGGGATGCTCTTAACAAAAACCATAAAGCAAGTAATTGATTGTTCAAAAAGAGATTCCAAAAGATAGAAGCTACCTTAAATTTAGGTATTCACAGTACAAAAGTATGAAGAAACATTGTGAATTATTGATGGGAACCCTAGGTGGGTTATCCCTAAAATGTATCTATCATCATCACACCAGTTCAAGAACCACCAATACATCCATTTCAGAAACAAAAACCCCCCAAGGCCAAGGGGAACCACAAAAACCAAATCATAAGGACAACAAATCTTGCCTCTCTTGGCTTAGTCAGTCATTTCACTGATAAATCCCACAATTTTATGCAACAATGGAGATCTTAAAACCTATTGTTTCTTGCATGTCGCAATCCCACCTGAGATGTATGATACATTTCTCGCTATATCCCGCAATCTGATTTTACACCTCACTGTGACAAAGAAAAATAAAAAATCGAACTGCTAAACAAAACTCGAACCCCTAACACAATCCCCACCCCCCACCCCCCTGTAAGCTTACTATCTCTAGTACTTCAAAACAGCCACGCTGGTCAGCTCTTGCAAAGGATTCTCCCAACACATTAGCTTCTCATCTTATATATATATATATACTATGGAAGTTACGCAAAATATAAGCTTCACTTGTTACACCAAACTTCAACTTGTATAACATCCTGATTTGCAGTTTTTTTGTCTAGCCACCGAGTCCTGTATCAAAGTAAACGCAAGCATGTTAAGAATAGCACAAACCTGACATTATATATTGACAGAAAAGTAACGACAACACTGAAGGTTCGATAGGTTAACATGCATATTAAAACGAATTGTAGAATTGGGAACGCAAATACCAACATGTTTGAATAGGCTTTTAAGGAACACCCGAGTGGAACAAGACACTTTATTTTGGTTCAAAATTTTCCTTTTATTCATTGTACAATACTCGATTCGAATGTGCAAGACTCCAACTTCATGTAGGTTGATGTAACAAATCTTACATCTGTGGCTTTAAATCCTCGACATAAAGGATCAATATATAAACACTTCACCACAACATCAAGTGTATTATAAGATAAGAGTATGATAATTGGATTATATAGCTAAATATTTAAAAGCAAACTTATAAATATTTCCATTTCCATAGTTAAGATAACTGCTGCACAAAGCCCCCCACCCCCCTCTTTCTTTGGGGGGGGGGGTGCGAGGAAGTGACTAAAAGTGTCGGTCTCTTTTTACTGTGTTCCTTCCATCATCGGAATGGATCATTGAGTTTGTTCATAAAAGAGTGTTAGACAAAACCACATGATTAATACTGTTCCATTTTCTATAAACAAGTACTCTGTAACTCGCATTAAATAAAGAAATTACCAAAACAAATTGCAAGAATTGCCTAATAAGTTCCGTTAGAGTACACAGATATAATATCATATCACTCAAGGAAAATTTCAAGAAACATTGGCCCCCACATATTGACAGTGTTAAAGAGTCACACATTGATAAAATAAAAAAGAATATATGGGTTTATAAGGTCATGGGTTAAACTAACTAATTGGTTGGATTCTATCTTTTAGTGTGGTTTGGCTCATGTGCATTATAGCCCAATTGAGTAACCCTAGCCCAATCTTAGTTATAACATGGCATCAGGGTTAGATTAGCTAATTGGTTGGATTCAAGAACTAAAATTTTTTCACTACTACATATTAGCCAACCAAACACTAAATCAAGATATTAGAACCAATGTTATATGTGCTTGGACATGTTTATGTTCCGAAAAGCAATTGCCAATGGCATCAACAGCTTTGGCTCTATATTTTCATGGGAAAACCAAACATCGACTGGTAATAGCAAATTCGAATTGTTTATACTTACACTTAATAGCATGTACAAACACAAAGATAAATCAGTGCTTCAATGTTAAGCAGGACACATAAAAGTAGTCCCAAGAAAATATAAAAATATTTACTCTTTAAGCCGGAGCTAGCTAACAGAAAATAAAAAGGAAAAAAAAAAAAAACAAATCCTTAAAATAATGTAACCATCAGGACACCTCCTCCAAAGAACGATGGATCCTGTGATCATTTCTTATCTTAATCACCACCTTACTAGGTTTCCTACAGTCCTCATTGTGGTAAAAGAAGCGGCTCATGCCCCTAACAACTAAAGAACCACAAATAAATAAAAGGGAGAAAATCCATCTCAGTATACTAGTACTAATCAATATTATGTGGACACAAGTTAATGAAAATACTTGAACCTAACTAAACACGATGAAACCTATATATTTTGAGAAGAATATGTCTTGAAAGAAGTCAAGAAAGACTACCTTTAAAGGGTTACCAAGAAGCTAACCTTGGGAGGCCTGTCTCTTTGTAACACCATAACTATCAGCATAATGTGCAGAACTTTGAGAGGGCATATCAGAAGGTGAGTTTCCTAGAGCAAAACCAAATGAACCAGATCCATCTCGCTCTAAATTGGCAGGATGCCATGTCGGATCTGGGTACTTCAAACCACCAGTGCTGTAAAAGTCTGCAAAAGATGCATCATAGCCACCATTTGATGAAGCATACGATGATGTAGGTGCATTACTCATTGCAACATTTCTTCCATAAGCTCCTCCAGTGAAACCAAAAGAATTAGCAGCACCTCCATAACCGAGATTTCCACTTTGGCCGGAAATATTTCCTCCACCCTGTGAAGGAATTGTAGAGGAACCCCAAACTCTACTGTTGTTAAGTGCTCCCTCTCCAATGTTCTCATTACCGGATCCCCCAAGATTGTTGGATGTTATGGAATTCGCTCCATAGTTTAACCCACCAGTACCCCACAAATTTGGAGTAGATGAACTAAAAAATGAAGAATTTCCTCCATTCCCTCCATCAAAACCAACAGGACCATTGAACCTACTTGAGTTAGAAACATAATAAGGATTGGAACCCCGTCCATAGCTCAGAGTTCTATTTAAATTTGCACTGCCCCCATATCCTGGGCTCAACCCAGGCTCAAAATTGAGGCCTATGTCATAACCAGAACCAAATGGAGCAAACCCACTCCTACCTCCAGCCATGGGGCCGAACCTACTGTCCATGCTGACTCCATATGCTCCAACTGTATTTGGAGAGTATCCTTGTGCATGACCATTAAGGAAGTTATTAATCCTACTTAATCCATAGTTGTATCCACCTAGTGGACTTCGGATAGGACTTGGCGTTAACTCCTTTGGGACTGCACGCTTCACCTCAACCATCTTACCATTCAGCTGATGAAAAGTCTTAAGCAAGACTTTATCCACAGCATCCTCGGAATCATATGTTATAAATCCGAAGCCCCTTGGCCTTTGAGTATTGTGATCATACATTACCACAGCATCTGTGATTATTCCAAATTGCTCAAAGTACTTTTTAAAGTCACCCTCGGTCACTGTGGATGCTAGGCCTCCAACAAAAATTTTTCTTGTGCGCCCTGGACCAGGAGACCCCTGAAGGCTATTACTGTTTCTGTCCATTGGGCTTTGGTCATCCCTGGGAACAGCTTTCTTTGCCTCAACCTGTACAACAAGAACTCGGCAATGAATGCTAAGCTTATGAAGCGATTATGGAATCAAATTTAATCAAAAGCATAAAGAGTAAAACTTTACAGGGAAATCTCATAATCAATACAATTCGTTCTTGTTTTATTAGGTAGCTTTAGAAGACACGCAATTCCTTTCCAAAACAAATCAATCACAGAATGAACATTGACAAGTGAACACAGCTTACCATCCTGCCATCAATGTTGTGTTTCTCCGTAATCACTCTGTCAGCAACAGCAGGATCCGCAAACACTATGAAACCAAAACCACGGGCACGCCCAGTCGATCTATCCCTCATAATTACAGCCTCCAAAACCTCCCCATAAGTGCTAAAATACTCCTTTAGATTCTCTTCAGTGGTATCCCAAGAAATTCCACCAATGAATAACTTGCCAAGATAAGATTGCATTTTTCTGCCAAATCAATAAATCTCATAACTCAGCAACTCAAAAAAATAGAGGTCAGCCCAGATTATACCATCCCCTTTCACACCACTTCAACACTACCAAAGTTCACTCCACTCCACCACAAAATGCAGACACAAAACAAGAGCATCAATCAATAAAAATCGAACCTTTGCTATGAAGAACAAAGAGAACCTGGAAGATACACTACAATTGGGATACCAATAATTGATGGCTTAAGTGATTCAATCCAGAAACATCGGATCCTGGTAGGATCAGTGGAATTATAATCGACAAGTATACGCCTGAAAAGAAAAAAACAACGAAATGGGCTCATCTAACATTCAGCAAAGACATCAATACAGACCAACCAAGACAGTGAGGGGAAAAAAACAGAAGCTAAACACAATCATCTAATATTGAATACCCAAATCAAGAGGTCGCCGATTGGACAAGAATCAGTAAGATCTAGAGAGGAGGCAGTAGTGCTAGTAGTACTAGAACCGAGGGCGTTTTCTTGCTTCTTCCTCCTTTTCCGATTCTAACCAAACTTAAAACAAAGTTTTATATAAATTTCAGAAACAATAACATGTTCAGTGGAAGAGGATTGGATTCTTACGTTTGAATTTCTTTTCCTTTTTCTCCTTTTTTTTTTTTCTTTTTAGGAGTTTGAATTTTACTTCATTTTTTGGTAAGAAGGAGAAGAAGGAGAATATGTGGTAAGACAAATGGAAAATAAAGAAAATGGGTCTGTAGTATTCTGTGATGACAACTTGGAAGGATTGCTTCTCCTCCATAGCCTTATATACTTTATTATTTTTTTAATTATTATTTTCCAATTTGAATGTTAATTTTGTTTATTCAATTTTTAAAAATAAAAACTTTTAGTGTTTTAAGATAAATTTTTTTCTTTTCATATTACAGCTTTAAATTTGAGATTATATTCAAAATGAGCAAATCTCTTGTGCGCATCAACATTTAGTCATGTTCTAAATGCTTTATCGGATCAGTGTGCAGGGATCTTGGGGTTGGGGATTCAATATTTAAGGAGATGTAAATTCTAAAGGCAAATTATACTATGGAACATGGTCCACATATCACAAAAAAAAAGGTTATTTTTAATATACTTAATGGAAAAGGTACAAATAGGCCATTGAACTATTTGGGAATAGCAATTAAGCCATCAAACTCAAATAAGTTCCAAATTCATCTATGAACTTCAACAAAAAGAGCATTTAGCATTTTTAGCAGGTTAACAACAAGTTTGTGCTGATTGAGATGCAATGTGTATTTTGTTTTTTTTTTTTTTTTTATTATCCTACTAAACATTTGACAATCAAAAAAAAAAAAAAAAAAAAACATTTGACCCTCAATTATAGATTTTCTATTTTGTGCTTTTTCTCTCTTTTGCTGTTATTTGCGGTATTTTTGAATCAGGAAAAATACTATCTGCGTGTAATTTCCTAAACTGAAATTTTCCTTGATCGAAGTTTATACACTGAAATTTTTACACAAAAATACATATATATTACATGCATAATATAACTACAATTTCAATTTAAAAAATTACACGCAGAAATTAATTTGCATTGCTAATATTAGAAATAAATTTAATTTGCATAATATAACTATAATTTGCATTGCGTGTAATTTCTTAATATACTACATAATATATCTATAATTTGCATTGCTAAGCAGAAATTAATATAGAAATAAATTTAATTTGCAAAATATAACTATAATTTGCATTGCGTGTAATTACTTAATATACTACATAATATATCTATAATTTGCATTAATAAGTAGAAATTAATATATATATATATATATATATATATTTTATTACGTGTAATTTTTTAAATTGAAATTATAGTTATATTATGCGTGTAATATGTATATATTTTTGCAAAAGTTTTTCAGTATATAAATTTCAATCAAGAAAATTTTCATTTTAAGAAATTACACCCAAATATTATTTTTCCTGATTGAAAAATACCATAAACAATTAAAAAAAAAAAAAAAGAAAAAAAAGAAGCTATAGTTGAGGGTCAAATGCTTAGTTTTGTTTTTTTTTTTTCTTTTTCTTTAGGATCAAATACTTAAGTAGGATAATAATAATAATAATAATAATAATAATAATAATAATAATAATAATAATAATAATAATAATAATAATAATAATAATAATAATAATAATAATAATAATAATAAATAATAATAATTAAAAAAATATACATGACATACCAATCAGCACAAACTTGTTATTAACTTGCTAAAAATGTTAATTATTTTTTTTTTCCAGGTTCATGGATGAATTTGAAGCTTATTCGAATTCGGTGGCTTAATTGCTATCTCCCAAATAGTTCAATGGTCAATTTGTACATTTTCCCTATACCTAAAGTTCATAACCTTATGTACATTAAAATGGACTTTTAGTATACTAAAATGAATATTTAATATACTAAAAATAAATTTTATGTTAGTGGTCCACGGTATAATCATTGTTAGGTTATTTAAAATTCAATGATTATACCGTGAATAATGGTCCACATTGTAAAGTAGATAACTAACATAACTTTTTTTTTTTTTTTATTTTAAAGTATAGTGAAAATTCATTTTTATTATAATAATTTTTTTTTTTTAATGTTCATTCTTAATGTACTGAAGGTTTACATTAAAAATTAACATTCAATCTATTAAAATGATCATTCATCTGTGACCCATCTTCTATGTGGATCATGATCGTATAAGTTGGCCCAAGCTAGACTAAGGGGCAAATTATATCGTGCACCAAGGCGTACAATGCCTAAAACGACGTCGTTTTGACTTTTTTTTTTTTTTTAGAAATTCTATTTCCCTTTTCTACCGTTAAATTTAATATAAAAAAAATTATCTGTTTCGAATGTACACAAACTCATAACAGAATACACATAAACTCATAACAAAATACACATAACCTAACATAATACATAATACACATAAACTCATAACAGAATACACATAATCTAACATAATACATAATATACATAAACTCATAGCATAATACACATAAACTCATAACAGGATACACATAAACTTTTAACATAATACACATAAAATCTGAACAATAAAAACAATGTCGTTTTGGTCATTGTGCGCCCTGGTGCACGATATAACGACGGGGACTAAGGCCATCAAATTCCAATTGTTATATCGTGCACTAGGGCGCACAATGCATATTGTGCGCCCTAAAAATTCCTTGGTTTGTATGTACATAATATAGTAGAATACACATAAACTCCTAACATAATATACATAAACCCTTAACATACTACACATGAACTCTTAACATAATACACATAAACTTTTAAGAAACACAATGCATTGTGCGACCCTAGTGCACAATATAATTTGCCATCAAATTCGTTCATCTCTTAATATTAAGAATATCAATAATATATGTCGAATGAACCCAAAACACAACCCTCAAACACAATACTAGTGTGTACATAAGATCAAATGAAAACATGGTCGTCTTCCTATAAAAAATAAGGAATGATCTCAGACGTCCATAAAAAATCATTAATGGATAAGGGTTTAGTAAAAAAAAAAAAAAACTGAGGTTAATTTTATAATTATTCAAAACTTTTAATGTATAGTTCATTTTATAATTATTGCAAATTTGAAAATTTAGTAATGGTAAGATCTTAATATTTAATTTTGCAAGATGTAGGGTGTGAATGTACCAACACTTCTTTTGCAATGGGAGGTGTGTTAGTATATGATGAATCATCTATTCTACGATTTATTCCCAAGCAATCATATTCAATAATAACCTTGTCAATACTCGGGACCGTGTATCCAAGATAGAGCCTCCTTGCATGTCATGGCTTCAAACAAACTAAGTTAGGATCTTGAATACACTTAAGATCAGAAGACCATGTAAGTCATTCCTTAACCAATCTTTAAGTGATCTTATAACTGGCGTGAAAATTTATTAATTTCATATTTAGTATAAAATTAATCATCTAATCATTTGTAAAGTTTTGAAAAACCATATTTCTTTTTTTGTATATATTCTTTTTAATCAAGACCTCATTCACACGCACTTGAGTATTGCTCAATATCAACCCCTTTAACTATTTATTGCGATAAGCTTATTATTGTTGAAAATTTTATCATTCTTGACCTATCATATCTCTCACAAGATACAAATAAATTTTGTTGGCTAAAGATTTGCTAGACTACAAAAAAAACTTATCGATTAAGATTGGGTTATATGGGTTTAATGCACTAGCTAGGCAATGGAATAAATGTCCATATGTCTTGATAGCTTTAGACTTGAATAATGCATCGCAAAGAGTTACATTAGAATGATTGTATCTACTGTCTATGGATGTCGCTAACATAAACCAATATGGAGAGTGAAATAGTATGTTCTATGATAAAATCAAGACCATCTCATTGATCATCATCTATAAAACAAATCAGGTTTCTCATAAGTATTATACTTTACTTAGGGATAATAATAATAGGTCGGAATAAATTAGGAGAGCTATATCCACCACTTGAGTCTTGATCTAATAGGATATATACTCCGGATTCGAATTCCCTATACGTCTAAGTTCTTGTTTTATAGTCGGGTCGGAATCAAACAGTTCGGGTCCCGATCTACGGGTCAAACCCGCCCAAACCTTAGGCTTATAAGTAGGGCCTTAACTCTCATTGTTAGGGGTCTTCACCACTCATCCACTCTCTCTACATTTAATAAAAGAAGCTTATTTACCCTATCTTCTCTCCCTTGTTCATACATATTACATATGGTAAATACATTCATTCTACATACGCGGAAATTAGTACTATCATGACTCATCTTAATTCTTATATTTTTTCTACTCATCCACACCTCCAACCCGCATCGGGTAAACTTTTTTCAAAACTTACCCTATCTCATTGAGCGCGGGTGCCCACTACGGGTACAACAACTTATCATCTTATTAATTTTTTAAAAATAATATTTAAATTATTAATACATAATAAAATAATAAAATTTATTAATGATACTAAAACATAACAATAATATATAACAACTAAATTGTTAATTTTTTAAAAAATAGACTTAGGAGTAAAAATAATAAAAAGTTATACAAATTTTTATAATTAGTTGCATACTTATATTTATTTTATTTACTATCATTTAATTGGTTAAAAAACCGATCCGCTTGACAAACTTATGGTTTTAAGGATCTTTCAGAATTATTTGGGCCCTGATTAAAAATTTGACGGGCCTTTTAGTTTGACTCACGTTACTTTTTATTTTATGTATTTTAAGGGTAGTTGTTATATTTGGATCATGATGCAAGGTGGACACGGTCTAAAATTATGTAATTTTGTAGCTTTAGTTTTTTTTTTTTTTTTTAATTAAGAAAAAAATTTACAATCACTCTCCGAGAATATGCATTAGATAAACTCCGCCTTGTTATCATATTCGCCATGGTGATGTTTTTGTATTATAAGAAATAACTTTGGTATTACATATACATAATCGATTAATTGTAAGTATTAACTGCAAGTTCGTAAAAATGGTAAACTCAATACATTAAGTCCAAAATAAAAACTTGTTAATCTTAAACAAATACCGTTTAAAATTATACCATAATCATGATTACATGGTAAACATAGAGTCAAAACTACATTTAAATGCAAACTGAGTCACATAATTGACACTAATAAATAACGAATAAACTACATCAAGTTTATTTACTTACAATTCACTTATTATGAACTTAAAAATGGTTAAAATTACTTGATTTGATCCGCTTATAATTAACAGATTATGTACTTATATATTTAAATTGATGTATCTACAGTTGATTGATCATGTAGCACTGCAAATGTGAGTGGTGATCAAATTGAAGGGAAAAAAAAAAAAAGTAATTCTAATTTTCAATAAAACAAAATTATATTCTAAAATAAAGTCGAATAGTCGTTGACAATGCTATATCTTAACATTTTCCATTACCATCTTTTATTCATGCCATGTGAGAATTACAAGTATAGTTTGAAAAGGATACCTTCCATTAGGCCTTACTAACATTAGATAAGCTAAGGGCTATCAAATATACAACTATATAATAAGGTCCCTTATAGGGGTAATCAAACAAACTTAAAAACGAATCCTTTCTAAACAATCAATCCAATAAGTCAAATAACCATTTTATTTTAAGTAACCAAAGCTCAACAGTTTCTTAAAAACTCGATAAGGAATCGTATCAATCACACGTAACAATATCTTGAAAGAATGGGTCCTTGAGCAAGTCTGATGCAGATGGCCTGGCTCTTGGTTGCCCAATACACTTCTCAATGAAGTCTTTCAATTCTGGGTCCTTCACCTTGTTCAGAGCTCGAGGCTTCACGCCGGCGGTCACCTTCTTGTATATTTTCGCTATACTGTCACACTCGCTGTAGGGTATCTCCAAGGTCGCCATTTCCAGTAAGCACATCCCAAAGGAGTAAATATCCACAAGTTCTGTATAGTTCTCTTCATAAAGCTCTGGTGCCATGTACTCTGGAGTCCCTAGCAGTGTATGCGCCGCATGGTTCTTTGCAACAATGGCCGCCATGCCTAAATCCCCAATCTTTACCTGAAATGTAGTATATCATGTAATTAAGCTTTCTAAAAGTTGATCCATATATTTCCACCTGCTCAATATTTGGATAACACTCCTGGAAATTATAAAATTTCCGACCACTTAAAAGTTATCTTAAATCAAGTCAAAGGAAAAAGTGGTCGGAAATAGCAATAAAGGTTTTTCCGAATACCAAAAGTGGTCGGAACAAAGCTTTCGACTTGATTTAAGATCACTTTCAGGTGGTCCGAAATTCCATAATTTCCAACAGTGAACATGAGAAACTCGACGTCACTATTTGAGGGTGAACACTTGGTAAATCTTATCTTGTGACTCTAGTTGACAAAAGATTAGTAAACCAGACTCAATTGTTTGGTCAATAAATAGCTATGGTTGAGAGCCACAGTCTGACCAACTTAAGTGTGCATGGGATAAACCCACCACCTTATAAACCCAGTCGGTAAACCAGCCTAAATTGTATATTGTTGATGGGCGGAAACCAAAAAGACTAATAAATCGTTTAATCAGAATCATTAATGGTTACTAGGTTAACAATCTGATGGTGAAGTTGTAAATAGAGAATTTTAGTAAGGCTAGAATAGGTACCTTTCCAATGTTGCCATTGATGAAAATGTTGCTGCAGTTGAGGTCTCTGTGGATGACGCAGGGATCATGGGTGTGGAGATACTCCAAGCCTTGAAGTATCTGTCTGGACCACTTCTTGATCGCCTTGACGGAGACATGGCGGTGCTTGTTCCGGTAATCCCTGAGGTTGCCGGAGGCGCACGCCTCGGTTATGAAATTCAGGATGTTGTGCTCCTCGTCCTTCCAGAAATGATACATGACGATGATGTTCTCGTTCTTCAAGCTTTCTAGCAGCTCAATCTCGGAGTGGATCTTGCTAATGATGCACGGATTGTCCATGAACTTTCTCAGCTTAATCTGGTTCCACGCCACGTCTCGCCCTTCCTCCAAATCGAACGCTCTGTGCACGTTCTTCACCGACCCGTGCCCCAGGAGCTCCTCGTACCGCCCAAACCGCCCCGACGGATCAACCTCCGCAAACGCCTCGCCATCTTCGTCACCACTGGAAAATGGCATTATTATAACGGACCAAATATAAGAAAATAAAGTTGTGTTAGGTGACAGGTGCTAGGAAAATTGTTGGGCGGAGACCAGTGAATTGAATTGAAGAAGTGATCCTAACACTACTCAATATGCATGGAGATGAAGTAGTGTAAATTTAGAGGTGTATTGGAGCATATTTATAGTGTTCAAACTTCAAACCTGATCACTACTTTTCCATCGGTGAAAGCAAAAGAAATCCAGATTTTTTTAAATAGTGGTTGATGCAATTTGCAGGGAGACAGCTAGTTCCAGCACTTTAAGCCATGTGACACTCCCATGAAACAATAAATACCAGTGTATATAAATAACATATATTTCTAGTCTAAACCCATTCCTTAAGTTATTGTGGCATCTATTTTTTTTTTTTTGGTCTCAACTATAACGTGACATTCATGAGCTGACCAAACCGCATGCATGAAGGCGAAAGGTAGCGAGGACGTTTCTTGATGGAAAGAAGATGGAGTTTCATGGAACATCCGTGCCCAAAGATCTGCTGTTTCGTGCATGTGTGCAGAATCTCAACGCTACACAAAAACCAGTCATTTTCATATTTCAATTTAATTTCCCAAATCATTTTATTATAATAATATAATGTTGATATTGATGAGAGATTTGGACTTAGGTCTTGATCAAGTAGAGTAATTGGAGGTTGAGATTGGAGTGTAGGGGGTGTGAATTAGGCCTAAGGAGTTAAGGAGGGGGGAAAGTTGAGCCTAAAGAGTCAAGTAGGGGCACAAATTGAACTTATAAATTATTTAACTTAGAAAAAATGTGTCTCAAGCCAAAAAAAATTATCAAAATACAAACATAAATTATTATATATATGTTTATATATCTTTAAATGATCTATCCATACATACAAGAATACATGATGAGTGATGAGTGTAACTAATATATATGTAGGTGATGCAGCTTAGTGGTAAGGCATGCAACAATTATGTGCACGCGCGTTTGACGATGTCTGGAACGAATGTATTACAAAATGAGACAACCTGCATGTTTATTCATGGACTAACTTTCATGTGTGGTTTGTAAATTATTATATAAAAATAAAATTTATTTAATACATATTTTTGCAATAAATTTTTTTTGTCACTCAAAAACAAAACTTTATATGATTATTATACTTTTAAAGAGTAAAATTCATTTCATATATCTTAATTTTATTGGAGGATGAATTTAAAAAAAAAAAAAATAAAACTTATAACTTTCTTCTAAATCAGAACATGTCACAATTAACATGGGTAAAAATGGAATATAAAGTAAGAATTCATGTACGATATGTTTTAACTTATGAGTTATCTTACCTTTTTCCAATTTAAATCTCTCTATTATTATTATTATTATTATTATTATTATTATTATTATTATTATTATTATTATTATTATTATTATTATTAGGGCAATTGGGCGATACACCGAGTTTACAAGTAGCCATTAGCAAATGAACAATAATTTTTTAAATTTAAATTTTATATAACTATGCCATGTTAGATTTTAATAAGGAAAACTTGCATAATGTTGATTCTCCAAATTGTAATATTTTTTTTTTTTTGAATGCTACTAGCTCTATTACATTGTAGTATCTGTTTATATACTTTCTCAACCTACTGAAACACAAAGAGCCAATAACGCCTCCACTGAGGCTCGAAATCACAACCTTCCACTTGGAAGTCCACCCCGGATTCTCCAAATTGTAATATAATCTTAAACTTATTTTATATTAATTAACCAGTTAAACTACTTAGGTCGTCATTAAAAATTTCCGCACTGGATAAGCAGCAGACGAAAAATGAAAAAGTATTTATAAGAAGAAAAATAAAAGGCAGATAAGGATAAGTATCAGTGGATAAGATTAGATCGTGGTGGCAACAAGGACGATTTTAAAAAATTAATTTATTTTTAAACTCCAAAGTAATTATGAAATATGAATTATATTGAACAATTTTAAAAAGTATTTATAAATTCTCTTATACAGCTTTGATAATTTGTGCTTTGTAAAGTTAAAAGGTATAAATAGGATTCCATCCGTCCCATTTTATGTGTATGGTTCAGTTAAGGAGACTTGACTAGAGTTATTTTTATTACAATTTTTCATAATATTAAGTTTAGTATTAGTATATAAAATTTATATATTTAAAACTATATTAAAAGTACTATTCCGTATTAAACACATAAAAATCAAATTTAAAAATAAATAAAAACATACGAAAGAAAATAAGCAAAGAATAAAGAGTTGGTTTGATCCATGAACAATAAGTATAACAGATAAAATGAAATAGATGAAGTATTCAATCAATAAATAATGATTTTTTTTATTTTTTTAAAACAATAATAACAAATTGTGTACACCTTTAGCCGCAAGTGGAATTATTTATTTTTGGGCTTTTGGCATAATTTAGGAGTCAATATAAAAGATTCACTCTGAATTGAAGTTGTGTAAATTCTATTGAGCAATGAAAGATAAATATAGGCTTTGACCTTTTGGTTCTCATATTCTCTCATGTGATTATGATATGATATTAGAGGTTAATCTCCACCTAAATTAATTCTAAGCAATATCTTAATTATTCATACAACTTGATTTCAAGATTCTTGTACTTTACATATTAAAGTGCATTTCTATCAAAATCATCAATTGTTATGCCATGGAACCGTGTTCACCATTCATGGTAAACACGGTCCAAACGGTGACGGTGCCCGTAAGTGGCACCGTTATCCTTTTTTTTTTTTTTCCCCTTAATTAACAACACGACTTTTCTTCTTCATTTTCACATTTCACGGTTTCACTTTCTCTTCGTGCAAGCTTCTTTAACACTCATAAATTATGAATGTGCAGGCATGGATTTATGAATGTGCAGTTATAAAATTATGAATTTTCTTTTATGAGATTATGAATTTTCTGTTATGAAATTATAAATTTTCTATTATGAGATTATGAAATTTTCTGTTATTAAATTATGAATTTACAGAAAATTCATAATTACATAACTGTAAATTCATAATCTCATAACAGAAAATTCATAATCTGTACATAGAATGCAAAACGCCGTTAACAGTATATTAACTTATTTTATTTTATTTTTTCGTAAAAACGACTCCGTTTTGAAACGTGTTGACAAAGCATGGTGAACACGTTTCTACGCATAATTTGCCCAAAATTATATGGTAGTTGGATTTATTACGAAAAGTTATCAAAACACCTCTTACAATTCATTTACAAGTTCAAACTCAAGATTTTAGTTAAAAAAGATTGAAACCCAATCTGGGCTTTCACTGCAGATAAATTTCAGAGATATGTCTCAATCTACAAATTGTCAAGTACAAGATTAATTCCATATCTTCCTTCATAGGATTTCAACCTTAATGGAGACAAGTCTAGCCGAGTTGGTTGGGCGGATAACTACAAATTTCTAAATTTAATTATCTATGCTAGTTGTCTATTAGTGTTCTTGATTTGAGCTGATCAATTATGAACAATCTAGATCGGTTTACCTCTTTGTGATCATTTGTCAGGTAAAATTACAGGACGTCATCACCCAAAATACACATTCTATAGTAATTGCGAACTTTCGGATAAATCAAAGAATCGATCCCTAATGTAAGGCCATTTTTTTTGGATTTTTGTATTTGTATGTAACAGGTGAGGCTATTGGTCGTAATCAATGTTTTCCATAATCATTAACTTGGTGGCAAAGTAAAGTTTGAGTGGTGATGAGGAACGTCACCATCTATGCACGACCTGAGCTTGACACATCGACGGCGACCTCCGTTGAGGTGGCATTCTTCATCAGACTTGACGGCGACCGGCCCAACAAGTTTTGCGAGCTGCAGGTTTGAAACATACAAAAGTGGTTAATCTGTCACGCCGCTGTTGAGTGTTGACGTTATAATAATTGTTTTCCAAGTCAAAGGTTGTAATGATCCCATCGATCGTTGGTGTCTAAATTCCTGTCATAATTTGTGTTAGAGCACAGCATATGAACAGGAACGACAATCATGGCACCATATGCAGTTCGAAAGAAACTATATTTTTGCAGAAAGATAGAAACCTTTTTGATAACCGACAAGAAAAATCTATAACCACTATTCGAGGATGTGCATCAGGTAAACCCTATCTTATGACTTTAGCCAACAAATGACCATAAAGGAGGTAAATTAGACCTAGGTTGCACGGTTTGAAAGAAATTATATTTTTGTAGAAAGATTTTACAAAAAGATGAAAGCTTTTTTTATGACGAGAGAAACTCATAACTTCCCCCTTTAGCCGACAAAGGACTGCAAAGAGATAAACCAGGCTAAGTTGAACATAGCTGACTAGCTCAAACCAAGAAGACCAATAAGTCAGTCCTTTCACTGGGAATTAAACTTAAAACCTTGTGGTTACTGAGCCAATAATCATTGATTGATTAATGGAACAGTAAATTTACTACAGCCACTGCAGAAGATTAGAAAAAAACATAAATTAAGGAAACGCTGAGACAACTAAGGTTACATCTAAGTATGATGATGTTCTTCTGCAGCCTAGTGGCTTTCACTTCCATGCACAGGAAGCAACCAAATCTCTCTTCATCCAACCAAGATAAAGGGCTCCATCTCTTTCTTCAAGCCTGTATTTGCTAGAATAGTTTCCTAACAGAGTCTTGATCGTGGCATTCACCAAAGAACTCAATGGGTACGGAGAAAACCCGGCCATCCTGAACCGCGACTTCCACTTCCCCAGAAGCTCATGCCTCTCCACCCTTTCTGTTCCCTCGCACGCTATAATGTTGACAACATCTCTTGCCAGGCAATGCTGCTCGACATTTATCCGTTCTTTGTGCTCCCGGGGAAGATTGACATCGATTGACTCAAACATTGCGATGTAGTAGTCTAAGGTTTCGAGGAACCGGGGGAAGAAAGGAGCAGTGTTTGTATTGCATTCTTGCTCGACGAGGGTAACCACCTTAGGATTCAGGCTTTTCACGAGCCTTAGTAGCTGGTCCCGGTGGTTAAGTGTGCTCACGCTCTCGTCTGGCATGTGGTGCAGCATGAACGCGAAATTCACAGCCAGTGCTTCACCGGTTCGAATTCCCAAGTCGGATACCTTAACTTCATAGTCTGACATGGATGCAGCGTGGAATTCGAATGGCACTTTGAAGGACTCAGCGAGCTTGGATAGCTTCTTTCCCACGAGGTTTAGTCCTCCCCTACGTGCATAAGCTGAAGTGGAGTCATCTATCCCGGTTATTCGAATATGGGGTGGCCCTCCTGGCCTAGCAGCAAAAGCTTGTATTAGGGTAACCCACTGGCTGCCTTGACCAATCTGGAAATCGATGATGTGAACTCGATTTTCGCCCTTCATTGCTTCTGCAATGGCGCCATTAGCTGACATGTACCCGAATTTGAAGTAGGGGCAAACCTCGTAAAGGATGTGCATATAAGAAAGCAGCTCGAAACTCTCGGGCTCCTTGCATCTCAGGGATTTGTAGATGGAACTCCCCGATGCATCCAACCGTGCAACGAGCCCTTCGAGCACATATGCCCCGAGCCTCTGAATTGGTTCCCCAGACACAGATACCATCTGTCTTAGCTGAGACATCAAGCATTCGGCTTTTGGTAAATCGTTGATGGATATCGCTTTGGCACAGGTAACGAGCACCTGTTTCAAATCCCCGACGGGTATGCCTTCCATCATTTCTCTCCAGCTGTCCAATTCTGGTGGGGCGATAGTGCTTGGCAAGGTTAGTTCATAGCACTCGGGGACATCTGAGTCAGGTCCAAGCATTACACTCTCGAGTTCCTTTAACTTGTGCCTGAAATCACTCATGTCATCCGTAACGGAAGACACACTGATTGGAGAACTATACTTGGTTTCTGGAGATTGGTGTAGTAGGTCCAACGGGTACGATTGGAATTCTTGTTGCAACATGGGACTTCCATACGGTGAGAAAGTGACGGTTGACGATGAGTTGCAACGAGCATGACTGCCATTTTTCGAGGACAATTCCCGATCAGAATAAGCCTGGATCAAGTAGCTGCCCCCGTTGTCACTGCTACTGTGGCTCAGCTGGTCTAAAATTTGAAACTGAGGCACACAGTAGGCCTCGGCCTTTTGCTGAAAGCACAGCGTATTGGACATCCCTGTTCTCCTGAGACGTGATGCTTGCATTTAAAAGGTTTCGATACAGATAACTCATACAACTCTGGCCAAGAATTGATGTAATCGAAGGATCTCTAATAGTAGGAAAAGTAGTTTACCTAAAGCAAAGAAAAAATCAATTACTTGATATGCAAAATTAGCTGAAGAATTGGAAAACAAGTAAATATGCACAAGAGGCCTCAAAATGTAGATCCCACAAGAAATGGAAGCTTTGCACCAACATACTAGACGAGTTTAGCAAGACTGTATTAAAGTTATTGGTTAACTTAGTCAAACATTCATAAAATCAAAGCAACAAGAAAAAAATTTAAAAAAACGAGATGACATTCTTCTCCTTAAAGTCCACAAACAGCCAAACAAGAGTAGCTGTGGAAGTGTCGCTCAATAATTCTCAACGGAGATGAAACGCAATTTCCATATGACTTTGACCAGACACAAAGGTTACAAGACAAGACAACTCCAAGTCATTCTAATTGAACAAAACAGTAAACCTTCTCATTGATCTACAAAATTTTCCAGACACAAAAAACTTCAAAACAAAGTGCAGAAACTTCAGTTTCACTTTGCCAACTACTAAGAAAGCAAGTTCAAACTGGTCCCAAATTCACCTCAAGCAGATAATTATAGCAATTAAGACTTAAAAGCATAATTTTCTTTTATGTCACATAACAATAAGAATAACCTAAGAACAAAAATATTCCATCAATACCTTTCCTTAACAAATCCAGTTCAACTCAATTGAACAGACCTCCCAACTATCTTTCAACCCAATTAGCCAAATCAAGGATGCAACTAAAGTAAAAGAAAACTTAAAAAGTTTGCAAATGGCAGCCAGAACAATTCAATTAATTGACAAAGCATATATTCCAAGGAAAAAGAACAGACCAAAAGTAATGCCACGCCATTCTTGGTGATAAACCTCAGCAAAAAAGATTCCTCTTCTGAAAACCTTGGAAACACCCACCTCACCCCCACCTGGAAACACAAGAAGATAAGAAAGATTCAGCCTTCCCGTGGAAAATAGGAGAGAGTTAACTAGTGAACGGATAAAAATCCCACCTTTGGCAGAAACATGAACTGCCCATTTTGAATCGCAACAAAAACAAAACATAAAAGGAAAAAGAAAACCCCTAATTGAAACAAAATCGCAGAAAGACACTTATAGGATAAATGGGCAACTCAAAGGAGAAACAGAGTACATAATCACTCAATTACAGAAACTGTAAATGAAAAGAACAGAACAGCAGTATCGGTTACCTTATACCAACCTTAAACTGAAGAATCCCGCGTTATCATAAGATTTCTTTCTTTATTACACTCAAAAGCATAGCCGAGAACGATAGAGAAGAAGAGAAGAAGAAGAAGCAGAGCATAGAGCTCCCCTGTGAAGGAATGAAAAAGGTCGGAAATATTATAAAAACATTTGGTTTTGGAAAAGACATTGACTTTGAGGAAAACTACCAGAATGCCATGAGATTTATTACTGCAATCCAAAGTGTACAAAATATGCATTTACGAAGTAGTGTACAATAATTTGTGCACGGAAGCGGCCTAACAGGTCCATGTGGGAGTACTTCTACTATACTATGCCTTCAACTGTTTTATTGATTGAATTTATGAGAGTTCGTATGGTCCAATTGCTTCCCAAATTATTTCGTGAAATATTATAGGAATAAGGTTCAAATTGGCCACTGAACGTAACTTGAAAATGCAATTAGGTCACTGAACGAAAAAAAAGTGCAATTATGCCATTGAACACTCAAAAAATGTGCAATTAGGCCACTGAACTCTCCAAACGTATGCAATTTTACCAGATAGCAGGTTACCATCAATTTTAGCAGGTTACCTGCTTACGTGGCAGCTTAGTTGGCATTTTTAATAATTTTTAAATAAATTTTAATAATTAATTTTAATAATAAATTTATAAAAAATTGGAAAAAATTAAATTAAAAATAAAATAAAGTCGTTTTTATTTTTTAAAAAAATTGTTTAATAAAAAGTTATTATTAAAATTTATTAAAAATTAATTAAAATTTATTAAAAATGCCAACTCAGCTGTCACGTAAGCAGATAACCTGCTAAAATTGAGGGTAACCTGCTATCAGGTGAAATTGCACATTTTTGGAGTGTTCAGTGGCCTAATTGCACTTTTTTTTCGTTCAGTGGCCTAATTGCATTTTCAGGTTACGTTCAGTGGCCAATTTGAACCTTATTCCAATATTATATGCAATTTCACTTATATTCTTTCTTTTCTTTTTTTTTTTTTTATCCAATTTTGGACTTGCATTTAATTTTATCAAGATTAAGTTGTTTCCGTATCTTGTTAAAATTAAGTGCAAGTCAAAAATTTATTTATTTTATATTTTAACTTTTTGATATAACCATTTTTAAAAAAATCCAAAAAGAATGATGAATTTGAACTATTTTAAAAATAAAAACTAGAAATAAAATAATATAAAATAAAATGATTCAAACCAACTGTTCAAATCGGGACTGTCGGTTCATCATTTTCTGAAATTGGGAACTGTCGGTTCGGAACTGGAACCACGGTCACCCCTAAATCAGTTATAACTTATTGGTAATTTGCTATAAACAGTAAAAATAGTATTATTAAACCATTTTTTTCAAGTTTAGTGATTTATTTGGAACTTTTTAGAGTTCGATGACTTAATTGCACTCTTTAATAAAAGTTGCATGACTTATTTGACCTTATCCCAAATAACAATTGTGGGTCAAATTTAGCAGCATGAATTTATCAACCAATGAAAGCGTGACAGATGGGTGTGTGGGTGGGTGGGGGTGTTGGGGCTAAGGCTACAGAAGATGTAACAATCACTACATATGGTACCGTCGAAATAGTTAAGAATTAAGAGCCCCTAAATCCCCTATTAATATCCATTTTTACACCCTACTAATAACAACATAAAGACTAGTCAGCCTATATACGGGAGTTTGTTTTGTTTTGTTTTGTTTTTTTTTTTTTAATTTATTTATTAAAACTCGATTTAAATTTATTTATATTTTCTGATTAATTTCATTTTTTTTAAATCTTAAATTATATAAGCTTTGTCGGACTAATCCTAAGCACATAGAACACTCCTTTAAAATCACTGTGAAAGTAAATCGCGAGTCGCTCAATCAATATCAACCTCAATCCGTCTCGCACTTACCCCTATTTCTCATAATGTTTTTACACGACAACATGAATTATGTCACATAATTCTTTAAATCTTCACCATTGTCATTAATTACCTTACTCAAAATTGGTCTCATGTAAGATGAGAAAGTGAGAAACAGTACATTTTGTTGAGAACCATATCATCATATATATAAATAATGAATGTATATTTAACTATTAATTTAGAATTTTTTTTAATTAAAACCAATGTTGCAAAAAACGCTAGGCGCCGATTTTTTTTTTTAATTAAAAAAAAAATTAAAATTTAAAATTTTCAAAATTTAGTACTAAAATATAAGGTTTTCATAGTTATTTCTTAGAAACTATTTACAAAAGTGGTTGTAAAATTGTTCAAAAGATTGTTGAAACCATCTAAATATATAAAAAAAAAAACTAAAATTAAGAGCTAAAGAAGCATTTTTTTGATAAATTAGTGGACCAAACTGCTTTCGGTGTATAGATCTCAAAAAAATACGCGATTTGAAAAAAAAAATTGTCCAAATCGGACAACCGAGTCAAAAGTTATGTCTTCCGAAAATTTTTCGACATTTTCAAAAAAAAAACAAAAAAAAAACGCCACACCGGCCGGTTAGGCGATCTAGCCGGCCGGCCGCGGAGGAGGCCGCCGAGGCCATTCCTCGCGGCGGCCTCCTACCGCCTAGGCGCGATTTTTGCAACCTTGATTAAAACATTATAACACTTTATTTAATTTGGTATCATAACTAACTCCATATAAAAACATCATATGATAAAAAGAAATTGCGATTTACATGTTACGCATGACCGTTAAAAAGTAATTATCCCGCAAGCACGAATACTTCCTTCAATTGAGTTTCACATCATTTTGTTTTGTTTTTTTTTTTTTTTTTTTGGTTTTGTTTTGTTTTTGGTTTTTGTTTGCATATATACAGGCAGAGTAATAAGATATTGAGAATCAACATCAAAATCTTTTGCCTTAGATACGACGTACAGTTGGGTGGATGTTGGATCTATCTTAGCGTAATGACAATTTCAAATTAAAGAACATGTCTTGTCATGTAATGACATTTTATGGAACAACTTAGCTAATTAAATCACAATTACTGTTACTAATTATATATCCTTGTCCTTTTCTTCTTTCCACCATGACATGACTCCAAAGAGCCAAGTTCAGTTTCTCATAATAACTTATCATCAAATCTTTTTAGTATTTGAGTGATTTTATTTGTTACATGTCACGTTGTTTTATAAATATTCATTATATATAGTTTTAACAAGTTAAAGAGTAATTTATAATACACTCTTTCAATTCATAAATAACCATTAAAAAAAATAATTAAACATTTCACAATAAAAATGTTACGTTTGTTGAAATCAATATATAATATTTACCATCGGTTTCACATTATTTAAAAATTATTTAACCCTTGTTAACAAATAGATTATCTAATAATCAAATTAAAAATATATAAAATAAAATAATACTACATTAGGTACTAACTATTATGTAGTCATATTTATAGGCGAATGTAATTAACCAAGGGAGGTAGGCAAGGGCCTTAGCCCTCCAAAACTTTTGCTATTAATGGGTGTATGCATGCATGTATGTATATGTGTGTGTGTTTTGTGTGTGTGTGTGTGTGTATATATATATATATATATATATATATATATATATATATATATATAATCCAGATCAGGTGCAACAGTCTCCTCAAGTGCGGACGTACAGATAGATCAAGACCATTGGTTGAGCTCATATCAATGACTGGAAATCAATAAAAATTAAAAAAAAAAAAAAAAAAAAAAAAACAGAACAAAAAATATGACGGTATTTTTGTAATTTTATGCAACAAGTATATTTTTGTGATGTACTCAGTGCTAGTTTGTAGTCACTTTGTAGTGATCTATGGTGCACTGTACTATGTGATGTTCAGTAGTGCACCACCAAATACTAGTATATGTGCACTAAGTGTTGTCTGTGGTGCACACTGAAAATACTTGATAGTGCATTGGACACAATGTACCATCAAGCATATATCTAAATGCACCAACATATCATTGAAATTATGAAAATTCCACCACTTTTTTCTTTTTCCATTTTTTTTTATTTCAAGCTGTTGATTTGAGCTTATCTAATTGTATAGATCAATCTGCACATCCTCTTGGGGAGGATCCACACCATAACCAGACCATATGTATGTATGTGTATGTGAGAGTGTGAGCGCGCGCCTCTAAACTTGTTGAAAATTGCATAGTTCACATATTTATTACTTTGTAATAATTTTTATTTAATGAATGCTTAAATAAAAAGAAATAAAAATTGATAGGAAATATTCTCCGGGTATACCTTCAAGTATATTTTAGGCTCCTGTTCGGTATTTGGGTCAAGGTCGGGTGTTCGTGTTCCGATCAGGATCAGGTGTCCAGGTCAATGTCATGCCTCCACCTATTTAAGAGGAGGCCACGCACAAGTTAAGAAGTCTTTGGTTGGCCACATCTCTTCTGGACTCTCTCTCTCTCTCTCTACATTATATTCTCTAAAGATTCAATAAAAGATAAAGATTGAGAGACTATTTTCTGATTCTTCTTACACTACTTTTACATACACAAGTTTATACATTCCCCTTCGATTTCATATGATAGTTGATGGATTTGTTCACTATACTTGCCAGTTCATTAACACTATCAAAAATGCTTTTAAACGAAACTATTTTTTTATGTAATTAATAATTTTCATCCATTAGAATTATTGATAACAAATTTAGATACTTGGCCCCTCTAAAAAAAATTATTGATTCAGTATTTCGGTGTAGCATAACTTAAACATTAATAAGAGATAATATAAAATTTGAGTTTAGAGATTTATAATATAATGTCTTTGGATAATAAGTTATTTGCTTGTTGTGAAGCTTGATTAGGATATGATATATAATGTCTTTGAAAAAGCTTACGTTAAGCATAATTAATCCCGGACTCCTACTCTGCGGTGCACGGTCCTTTAGCAACTTGTAGGCTTTCATCATATGCAGTAATTGTACGCACTAAAATTAATGTCTTCTAAACATCAACGCAACCCAATTTTATAACTATATGCACATTGCGACAAAACACTCCATAATCATCATTTTGGACCTTAATAAAAACTATATGTTACGTATAACCCTTGCTTATTTGTAGGGTGGACTTTTGTGTACGATAATTAGTCTTTATTTGTACACAAAGCGTTATATATAAAATTATCGT